CATGAATACGCGCAGAACGTATCATTGCATTGATAGAAGGAAAAATACAAGTTTAGCGGTTGCCAAACCACGTATACAGGAGGGCATGGAGGCGGACCCTAGGAGCATGAGGGGTGATGCTCAGCCCCAAGACTAGAGTTCAGTTTACATCGAATATTTGTAGCCCTTTGGCACCGGCATTAGAGCATGCCCACGCTTCGTCCTGGATAGATGGCACGAGGTCAGGGAGAGAGGACTACATGCCGTCGAAGATGCATGTTTTTCGATGCTTCCATGCCATCCAGGCGCAGAGACGGACAATGGAAGTGAAGCCCTTACGCAGGCTGGGATGGAAGGACGCCGTCGCTGCAGCCCACCATTCATAGAGAGGTGATCGAAGTCCCATCCTATGGCATGGAGGTGAAACGGCACCATGACATAACCTGGCGCCAAACTTGCCAGGAGAACACACAACCAACTAGCAGGTGGTGGATGGTTTTGATATCTTGGTCGCATAGCACGCATCTGGCAGGTGCAGTAGACCTCGGTTAGCAAGACGCTCCGTTGTCCAGCATCTGTCGAGATGAGCAAGCCATAGGAAATTGGTTAGAGACTTCATTATCTTATGCTTCCTACCAAACTTGGGCTCTCAGGACGTCTCTACCAATACAAAACACGAACAACTTAATTGTCCGAAGAGCATAATTAATGTAGCGAAAACTTAGAAACTCTTCGGTGACGTCCGGAATTTTGCGAGACGACTGCACAGGTGCAAAACTCCCGCACTCCTATTCAAGTTGGACATCCGGAAGGCCTTCGATTCGGTCAAGTGGGAGTTTATTCTCGAGCTTCTCCAAAAAAAGGGGTTCCCAAGCAAGGTCCGGAATTGGATCGCCGCACTTCTCTGCACTTCCTCTTCACGGATCCTTTTGAATGGGGTGGCTGGGCCGACGATTGTACATGGCCAGGGCCTCCGCCAAGGCGACCCGCTTTCGCCTCTCCTTTTTGTGATTGCAATCGACCTCCTGCAACAGATCCTAGAACTCGCAACACGAAAGGGCCTCTTCCACAAGATTCGTGGTAGGAGGGCCATGGCGAGAACATCCCTCTACACGGACGATGCAGCCGTGTTCATGGCCCCTATCAAGAGCGATGTCGACAACCTGGCGGCAATTCTAAAGGGATTCGTGGAGGTGAGTGGTCTTTGCACCAACTTCCAGAAAAGCTCAGTTGTACCCATCCGCTACTCCCGTGTCCGATTGGGCCATGTCCTACAGAGTTTGCCTGCAACTAGGACCTCCTTCCCGATGAGATACCTGGGCCTCCCGCTCTCGATCTGGCAACTCAAGAAGGTGGACCTACAATTCCTAGAGGACAAGGTTGCCAACAAACTGGTTACTTGGGAGGGTCAAAACATCACTACCATTGGCCGCACGGCCCTTGTCAGGTCTGTGACCACCTCCCAGGTGATATACTTTATCACACCGCTTGTCGTCCCTCCGGGCACACTGCACAATGTCAACAAGCTGGAGCGGGCATTTCTATGGTCGGGTTCAGACAAGACCACCGGGGCTAAGTGTAAGGTCAACTGGGAGGTGGTTTGCCGTCCAATCCAGTATGGAGGACTAGGGGTGCTGAACACTGACAAATTTGCTCGGACTCTGAGATTGCGCTGGCCTTGGTTTGAATGGAAGGAACCAAGCAAGATGTGGGTGGGCACAGAAAACCCATGCGACGAGGCCGACCTTGAATTCTTCTACGCTTCCACCACCATCATTTTGGGGAATGGGGCTAAAACGCCATTCTGGGACTCCCCATGGTTGCTAGGGTGCAAGCCTAAGGAGATTGCACCGCTCATTTACGAGGCCTCCTCAAGAAAAAACTGGAAGGTGCGGGAAGCTATTAAGGACAATGCTTGGATTTTAAAGATAAGGTCAGACACTGTGGTATCCATTGACCACATAAGGGAATTTTTTACCCTTTGGATGCTTTTACTTGACGTCATTCTTGACGAGCACTCCGAAGACGACATCTTCTGGAAGCACACAACTAACGGGCAATACTCGGCCGCCTCCGCTTATAAAGCACAATTCTTGGGCATGGTTAATTCTCCCATGGAGCAAATGGTGTGGAAGGCTTGGGCACCGCCAAAAGTCAAGTTTTTTGCTTGGCTTGCTTTACAAGACCGGATTTGGACGGCGGATAGATTGGACAAGCGTGGGTGGCAAAACTGTGGTCATTGCCCTCTTTGTGGGAGGGAGCAAGAAACAGGGGCTCACCTTTTCTTCAAGTGCCGCTTCACCAATAGGTTGTGGAGACTGGTCATCGACAAGCTAAGTCTGGACCATATGGACCCTTCCAGTTGGCACCTTGAAGCCTCCGTCAAGGAATGATGGGCGAACATGACCGGCATGGGTATTCCCAATAGGAAGGCCATGGCCTCCCTCACAATGCTTGTTTCATGGACCGTCTGGAATGAGAGGAACGCACGCATCTTCCGTCACAAGAGCGCGCCGCCGCCGATCCTAGTCAACAACATTCTTACCGACGCTAGACTATGGGTGACGGCAGGAGCTAAAAAACTAGGGGACATTCTAGTACGTGAGTAGTTGCCATGTGGCGTGTTATCGTGGGTTGTAAACAATCAAACTCTATTCTCCTCTTAATTAAATGATGAGGCAAATCTTTTGCCTCCGTTTCAAAAAAAAAAACAAATCCGATATAAAACCTCCCAACATGAAACATATTTATTCATGTGCAAATATATGCAACACGCCAACACCACCTAGACACACGCTCCAATCAGGAACTTCCACGCAATCTCTCGAACGACATGTACAACACACACTGCATCTATAACAATCACCCACTTCACTCCCTAAAAAAAAAAATCAAACACTCACCCACATGTATTGTAGATAGTTCAATACTTAGATAACGGGTGCAATGCACGGATGCCGGTAGTCCGATCATGGCTCAAGCTTCGGGGGCAGCTCAGCTTTGGGGAACGGCGGCATTTCCAGCTTCAGGCCCTCTGGCACAGCTGGTTGTGGTAACTTGGGCTCTTTAGGCACCTCCGGTACCTCAGGGTGAGGCACATGGGGCTACTTTGGCATGGAATGGTGTGGCATATCAGGCTTCGGTAACTCTGGCATGGCAGGGGGCGGCAGCTGCTCGTGCTCCTTTGGCACCTCTGAGGCTCTGACACAACGGGGTGTGGCACTTGAGGCTTGGTGTCTCCAGTATGACCGAGTGCGGCAGTACGTGCTCCTTTGGTACCTCCGGCACGACAGGGTGCGGCACTTGAGGCTCCATTGGCACAGCAGGATGCGGTAGTTTAGGCTTCGGTAGCTCGGGCATAGTAGGGTGTGGCGGCAGTTCGGGCTTTGACACCTCCGGCACGACGGGTCCGGGACTGCAGACTACTTTAGCACTATGGCGTGTGGCACTTTGGGCTCTTTTGGCACCATGGGGCACAGCAGGGTGCGGCAGTTCACGCTTCGGCATACTCCCTCCGTTCCAAAATAGATGACTCAACTTTGTACTAACTTTAGTACAAAGTTGAGTCATCTATTTTGAAACGGAGGGAGTAGTAGGGTGCGATGGGAGTTCAGGCACCCTACATGGTGTTCTTGCCCAGCATGGTCAATGCCGTGTGCTTCTTGTCTGTGTGCATCGATCAGCCAGAGGCAACTTCTTGCTATGATGGGTGGGAGATAAGAGAACGCTGATACTATTTATAGCACTCCAAAATCCAGATGGGCACACTACTAAGCTCCGTACACTAACATAATATAAGACATTTTTACAGTTCAATTTAGTAACTAGTCTGACTAAACTATGGTGCCTTGGAGGCCTGTTGGTAGGTCACCTGCATCTCGGTGGTTGTTTACTGACTTCGGTCTTATGCGTGATCAATCTCTGCGTATATTTAGACATGGGCGATGATATGTTCGGTGATACGCAATGTACATTTCAAGCTCTAGTGTCTACTCTGCTCTCAAATCAATGCATGTTCCGGTAATTGGTCGGCTTGGCTGCTCAGCTGCAGCGCAGACGCGAAGAACGGCTCTGGCCTAGCCATCGCTGATGGGACCATGGCGCACGCCCGGTGCCTCGCCACCAGTAGCCCTCGCACCTACTCTGCCATCCTGGCTTCTAGTTTGAGCAACGACGTTGAGCTTAGCCTTTGTGAGGTCAGTTCTTCTACCAACCAAAAGGCATGTAGAAATTCTTATTCATCACGATTTCTGCCAGGTTTAACCAAGAACAACAATTCGAACCCAATATCTGGCCCAGCAAACAAACAAAATTCTGCACAAAGGTCAGGTCACTGCTTTGTTGGAACGGTAGTAGTAAAAAACACTAGAACAGCTCCTAAAAAACCAACATGAACTTAGAATTTCATCAGATCATATTAACATTCGACCACGGGATACTGTCACTGTGCAAACATTTTACCTTTGGCCGGAATTAATATGAGAGTAGAAGAAGCTTGTGTAGTAATACAAGTATACAACACAAGGGACTGGGCACACAGGCATCCAGAGTCTTGATCATATGTTGTTAAAGTGACCCAGCTGAGCAACAAACACACTACCTAAAGTACTGTGAAATGAAGATTTTCACTTCGATTTGAGTACCACTCTTGCTGATCAGACGCGCCGTTTGATCGCCTTCGGGCAAGGGATGAAACTCTAGTGTTCCCCTCATAATCTCGTCACCACAATCAGAGTGCAGATCCAATTCAATTACCAGCACCTTGTACAATGGCACCGCAAGCAGATGTCCAGCCAAAGGAATCAGTTGTCCTGATCGTGCACATATGCCCTTCACATCTTCGTTGTAGAAAAGCACGCAGCCAATATCAAACAGCTCGCTGCGAGCGACAATTCTCCCAAAAAGGCAGATAGGATCTTTTACATCGCGATGGGTAAGCCTCACAGCAACTTCGCATTCAACTCCCTGGCTCAAGATGGCATAGGTCACCTCCACGGGACCATAAGGAGTATTGGCAATATCTAATAACGGCCTGTCGAATGTGGGGTCCTCCCGGTATAAAAGCACACTCTTCTTCCAGGTTTCTTCAATAGAGCTATCTTGACTGTTGTCATCAAGATGGATGCGGAACCGACAGGTCCATCTGCTGAGATGGCTCTTCCAGGACCAGTTAGCACAAGATTACCCTGTTCCATAGAAAATAGAAGTGATTTACATTTGCCTCATTAAAGGTACCACACTATGTCTCAATAGATGTAAACCTGATTAACTAAGCAAATATATACTATGCCCATCCTATATACATAAGTTGATCCTCACTATCATATTTATCTCAACATGCACACATGCCACCTCATCAAAGGCCCACCACTACATGCATGGGAAAAAGTTTTTCATTATTAGTTGATCTCATGCACACCTTTCACCTCACCACACATGTCACCTCATCAAAGGTCCACTCAACATGCAAGAAAAAATGTTTTTCTTTACCTTATGCCACATTCAAAATATTTTCTGACTACACAATAATCAGATACAATATATAATATTTTTTAGCTTTAGTTCATACATTATTAATTCAACTATGGAAACTTCAACAATCAAATCACTGAAATATATTGCAATTGATTCCCGCAGCAACGCGCGGGGTATTCTCTAGTTCCATTTACTAGTGAAGCCAGTCCAGATGGACGTTCGAGTTCTCAACTGTTTTGCAAAAACTTTATCATCTCTCCTTGGCAAAGCAGTTGCTGAGGGCAAAAGGCTTTCTTTCTTCTATTAATAACACACGACTGTAGTAATAAGTTTGTAATACTCTCTGCACATATTAACAGGATAAATCAAGGAATATACTTAGAGCCAGCATGTCCTCTTAATAACTAGCTTTGCAGACTAAGGAACGAAGCAGTGCCTGGTACGATGGGTGGTTACCACTGTATATAGATTGGGGCTCCTAATGAGCAGTCAGCTACCCAGAGCCGTTAAGCTCTTAATACAATGGCCAGATTCACCCCTCATCTAGTGTTAGAACTCATCCAAACTTTATCTTCAGGGAGGTATTACATGCAGGATTCAAATTTCATTGAAATTGTCAAGTTCAGAAATTTGAAATACTTAGGTACGGTGGGTTCAGGAATGTTGACATCTCGGATGAAACTACAAGATTCTGTTGGCTAATTAGCACTTGATGGCCGAATTGATTTCTAATTACTAATAAAAATTTAAAAATCATAAATTTTCGTAGTACCAGCATTGAACCTTAAATGCGCCCTCTAATATCTTCCATGCAGTGTTTTGAAATCTATGTACTACTTCCAAACAAATATCCAGCAGCAAAAGTCGTCGATTTTGTCATTTATTTTTTAGGGAAATGTAATTCCAAACTTGTGCTGGCAGTTGCAAGATCAAATGTCAGGGGTAGAAATTTGTAACTAATTTTCAGAACTGAAATAGTCAGAATTTTCTTATTCTTAATCTCAAAATAAATATGTATTCAAGCTGGCAAATTAAACAAATATATAGTACTCCCTCCGTAAACTAATATAAAAGCGTTTAGATCACTGAAATAGTGATCTAAACGCTCTTATATTAGTTTACAGAGGGGGTTGTTTTGAAATCTATGTACTTCTTCCCAGAAAATTTTGTGAACTTTGCTAGTGGATATGAAGATTGCATGAGAAGTGTGTAGCGCACACAATACATCCCGCATCGCCCTTCCTTCCAGGCCAAATGCACCGCTACTAACCCACCAAGCCATGTGGCAACGTGCACTTCCCTGGCCCTACCTCGCCTCCACTTCGCCTACTGTTGTCTCATCTCTCGTCGCCACCACCAGCTTCGAAGCCAGATCCACCATCATGTCCCATCGCATGCTAACATCATCCTCCTAACCAGCCTACCAGCCAACTTTGCCCACCGCCCTGTTGCACCTCCAGGAAGCCACTGGCCATGCCACTACACCCTGTTGCCAGAGCACAGGGAGTAGCTCGGCACTGGAGCTGGCGAGTTTCAAGGCGATCTAATGGTGAGTAAATAGAGAAAGAGATGGCTAGCTCTCAGTCAATCGAGAATTTGCACATTACAGCATACAGTGTTTTGAAGGAGATGTACCTTCCTTTAACATCATGATTCATTTTCAACAATGTGCTATCGTCATGACACTATATTTACTTCAGCAGTATAGTTTCCTGATTAGAGATACTTTGGACACACTGGATGAAAGAAAGCCTGCACCAACAGATATGATAGTGCACCTTTGATGGTTTCTAAACATGCAATTTTAGTCTCGAACATTTGTCTAAGGAAGTAACAAGCAAACAGAGTGGATAACAATAATCCCCACTCGCCGGCTACTGATATTTCACTTAAACATGAACATTCAGATATGGTCTACTTTGCGTTCTAGTACATTCATTGCTAGTTTCTTCACAAGAAAATAAAATAAAATAATATTTAAAAAAAAAGGTAGAGATAGCTCTACCTTGCATATTTCAAACAGGCATAAGCCTGAAGACCAAAAGGTCCAGTACAAGAACCATATGAGGCGCACCAAAGGTGCAGAGTTACAAACGTCCAAAGAAAAGAAGAGCCCAAGTTTATATATGCAGTTGGATTATTTCAGTTATGCCATTCCATATTTTGAGTTGCAGAAATCTTTCTTGTGGCATAATACAATTTCTTCTTCAGCCCTAAACAAAAAAGAATCAAGATTGAAATGGAGTTGATCGGTACAGTGGATAATTGGTAAGAATCTGCACCTGCCAATCACAAGGTTGTGGGGCGACGGGGTCGTCATGGCGGCTCCTTGCGAAGACCACAGAAGACTGAGATGAATATGCGCCAGCAATACAGACCATGCCACAGGGCGGGAGTCTCTTTCCTTGGGAGGAGGCGGCTGCATCAGGGACACGCACGGCAAAAACCTCCGCCAGATTGCTCCCATAGAATGGTAGGTCAGCATACCTTAGGTCGGCATATGCATGCAACTGCTCATCATTCGGGCCATCATAGCCAGTTGCAGCTGCCATGGGGACTTGCGTAGCAACAATGCCCTCTCTTTCTGGGTTGGGACTTGCTTTTGGGGAGGCTGGTGGTTGAAATCCCAAAGCTCCCTGTATGTTGAACATGATGTTAAAGTCCTGATTGATCATAGTTTATTTGTTTTTGTTGTAGATCTTGTTTGTTGCTAAGTGCAAAAGATCATCAAATACAGACAGGCTCCAAACAGATCTATAGAAATTACAATTAAGTTAGCTCCAAAAAATACAAACTTGCTATCCTCCCAGCAAAGCATTTGCATCTTATGACATGCCATCATCCATCGTATTTATAACAGAGAAGCATGAAGTTCTTGCAT